TACAATACACTGTCCAGCCATACAATAAGGCCAAACTAAAATTATTATATGGTTGTTGTAACATATGCCATTCTATTTTTATGACACTAAACCTTTTCATTACCAACAATGAAGACACACAGATATTGGCCTTTGCTCTTCTTTTAACAGTTTTACAGATTAGAATTTGGGCAAGTACTTTTTTATGACCAAATGCAAAACAAACGGAACATCTATTTTGTTTTTGAGTTACTTGGGATAGATTCTGTAGCTTTTTACTGCTGTAAAGCCAGTGCAACTGCAATACATCTTTAAGACCCCCTATAACATCACCTTTTATTGACAGCTGCTTTCTAAAATATCAGAAAACTTTATTTCCTCCTTCATTTCCCTCACCACTATGCATACCAATGCTCCCAGAGCCAGAATCATTCTCAATTAATTCCTGTACATGTTCAATTATCTTATGTAGATAGTTAGGCCATTGTACATCTGAATAATATTGCAGCAAACATTGTCCCAACAGCTTTTTCTTTGTAACACTTTACCTCCTCAAAGTATTCATTTAGGGGTGAATTTGACCTGTATTTTTTTCTAAGATGTCGGAATTTATTCAACAGGTCTAACATTAAATTTCTTCTCTCAACTGATTCTATTAATTGACATACTATGTGTTCATTTTTCACATCAAAAAGAGTCCTTGCATAATTTCCAGGCATCATTAGAGCAGGGTTAATACCTGTTTTCAGCCTCATGTGCCTATCAAATTTTTGTTCTGTTTCTAAAAGTAGAACTTTTATATCAGCCTGCATCTCCCAGATACTGATTTCAACAATTTCTCTTACTATCAGTTTCTTGGAAAAGCTAGCCATATTTATATCAGCATGTGTAGAGTCAATTCCTTTTTCGATTGCGTCAGCACATATTATAGGCGCCTGCTTTACACCAACAGATATTTGATCCACCAATTTTGCTTGACTAAGATTATCAGGATTTATTTTAATGTAATCATCAATTTCCTTTGTTTGTTTGTAAGTTCTTATAACATTGAAGAACCCTAATTCAGATTTTGCAGTCTCCCTTGTTGCTTCACATAAAGTGCACATGTACCTAGACCCACTGCCTGCTAATCCAGATTCAGATCTATCAAATTTTTCATGTATCATCGATGTGAAAAAACGCTATTTCATGTCTCCTCCAACCATCTTTTGTATATATTCTCAAAATTTTTCCTTTCAAAAAGCAACGTTCTTGTTCTATAGGTATCATACAAAAAATACATGATGTATGGTGGTTTTCATCTGCTATAGCTTCTAGCAGGGGTCTATTAGTTCGGATTGAGTTGGGTTTAATCTTCTTCAAAAATATTTATCTGGGTTCCATTTGACATAACAACACCAACCTTAACTATAGCAAAATGCAAACCTAAAAGCTTTGTTTGGTAATTCTGTTTCACTTTTTTCCCAGTGTACAGAAACATCACTCATTCCATCTGCTCCATCTTTAATGTATGTTTTCAGTAATAATGTTGGATCCTCTGTCATGCTTGCGTAATCCCTCAACAATGTTTGCATCCAGCTCTCTAAACTCTTTCAATTGCTTGAACATAATTATACCTCACACCCTTCATGTTTGGGGAAGGGAACTCTGGACTAGTTAAACTCTCTTTTAAGTCAATTGGATCATATATTTTTGTTTTGGTTGCTTTCAGATCTTTAGCAGGAGTATGATATATTATATCCCTATGACCAAAAAAGTCTGATTCAACACAATATCTAACATTCTGGAGGAAACTCTTTTTCAACTTTGTCTAATTCACATGGAGAACAGAAAGTATTACAACCTTTTTCTTTAAGAAAATGATACTGTGATTTATAGTTTTCTTTACTTTGTAAAGTATCGACACGAAGAGCTAAGCATTCTTCTGAAGTAAGAGTTTCTTGATTTTCCCTGCCATAAATTATCAATTTCAATTGCTCTGTTGTCTTTTTTATCTTCAAGACTTTGCTTTAGCATGAAAAAGAGAACATCTACTTTATCTTCATTGTGTGAATCACAAAAATTGTCAACATTTTTTATTACTTCATGTAATCTTTTCTGTTTAATATATTTTCTTTAGTAGAGTATAATGGCACTTTTTTGCTATAAAATATACCTGATGGTCTTTGTGAAATGCCTTTTTTTCTTTAAATTGTCATTTTACTCTCATGATCACTAATTAAAGAGATTTCAAATGTTTCTTTGCAACCAATTACATTATATTGACAATTAACCTGTAAAATATCAAAAAGTGTTTGAACTTGTATAGGTAAATTAATAAGACCTGTGTTTTCAAGGAAAGACCTACAAACTGGACAGACTGTCTTATGTCTAGCCAACATTCTATGCATTCCTTACAGGAAATGTGACTGCAGACTGTATATGCTGGTTGTTTGGGGACTCCTAAGCATATTGTACATTTCAAGATAGAAGCTAGATTTTGTTCTTGAAATCGTTCTAGCAAAATAGAACTGACACTTCTATTTGAACCCACTGTCTCAGCTGTTTCAGTTAGAAGCTTACGCTGTACATCACATTAGGATTTAGATGGAGAAATAATTGAGTCACTGTTAGTTCCTGAAAAATTGTTAGGTGATTGTTCTGATGTTTCAAGGTTATTTTTTTCTAATGAATCTTTTACAACTGTAGCAGTTACAAAGTTTGTATCCCTACTTGTTCCAGGAAAAGTGTTAGGAAGATTTAATGGTTCAAATGTTTCAAGATTATTTTTAGTGCATGAATTTTCTACAACTGTAGCAGTTACCTGCTTTTTACATGGAATATAAGTACTGGTAGCAATGGGGCTATTACGTTTTTTTTGGCGCCCTTTATTTAAAGTGAACAGACAATACTGTTTTTCTGAATGTGGATGCAATTTATTCGGTGATAATAAACCTTTGGTGACATCATGTCTGCGCAATTTCTGTCTGCATCCTCCACAGAACTTTTTTGGGTGAACAAAAGTTTAATCACTTAAAATATCCACACCAAAAACATTTAAAATTTCAGACTTAAATGACAGACATAAGAAGTTTTTGTTTTGTTTAAAAGTTTGGCCACAAATGCGACATACTGTTTTTAACTTTTCTATATGTTTGTCATTGCTTGAAAGAGTGCTTAATGACATAATTAAATAGTTATGCAGAAACAACTGACGCCCAATATTCTTCTAGTAACCTTGATCTTAAAGATCAAAATGAAAAATTAAGACAAGAGAATGAAAAATTAAAATCATTAGTAGACCAAATAAAAGAAAGTGCAGATGATTATCTTATTCATGCAAATTTAAAGCTAAAAGAAGAAAACCAAGAGCTTAAATTTAGACTTTATCTTCTTGAACAGTCCACCCAGAAGTAATTATGTCATTAAGCACTCTTTCAAGCAATGACAAACATATAGAAAAGTTAAAAACAGTATGTCGCATTTGTGGCCAAACTTTTAAACAAAACAAAAACTTCTTATGTCTGTCATTTAAGTCTGAAATTTTAAATGTTTTTGTTGTGAATATTTTAAGTGATTAAACATTTGTTCACCCAAAAAAGTTTTGTGGAGGATGCAGACAGAAATTGCGCAGACATGATGTCACCAAAGGTTTATTATCACCGAATAAATTTCATCCACATTCAGAAAACAGTATTGTCTGTTTCACTTTAAATAAAGGGCGCCCAAAAAAAACGTAATAGCCCCATTGCTACCAGTACTTATATTCCATGTAAAAAGCAGGTAACTGCTACAGTTGTAGAAAATTCATGCACCAAAAATAATCTTGAAACATTTGAACCATTAAATCTTCCTAACACTTTTCCTGGAACAAGTAGGGATACAAACTTTGTAACTGCTACAGTTGTAAAAGATTCATTTGAAAAAAATAACCTTGAAACATCAGAACAATCACCTAACAATTTTCCAGGAACTAACAGTGACTCAATTATTTCTCCATCTAAATCCTAATGTGATGTACGGCGTAAGCTTCTAACTGAAACAGATGAGACAGTGGGTTCAAATAGAAGTGTCAGTTCTATTTTGCTAGAACGATTTCAAGAACAAAATCTAGCTTCTATCTTGAAATGTACAATATGCTAAGGAGTCCCCAAACAACCAGCATATACAGTCTGCAGTCACATTTTCTGTAAGGAATGCATAGAATGTTGGCTAGACATAAGACAGTCTGTCCAGTTTGTAGGTCTTTCCTTGAAAACACAGGTCTTATTAATTTACCTATACAAGTTCAAACACTTTTTGATATTTTACAGGTTAATTGTCAATATAATGTAATTGGTTGCAAAGAAACATTTGAAATCTCTTTAATTAGTGATCATGAGAGTAAATGACAATTTAAAGAAAAAAAGGCATTTCACAAAGACCATCAGGTATATTTTATAGCAAAAAAGTGCCATTATACTCTACTAAAAGAAAATATATTAAACAGAAAAGATTACATGAAGTAATAAAAAATGTTGACAATTTTTGTGATTCACACAATGAAGATAAAGTAGATGTTCTCTTTTTCATGCTAAAGCAAAGTCTTGAAGATAAAAAAGACAACAGAGCAATTGAAATTGATAATTTATGGCAGTGAAAATCAAGAACTCTTACTTCAGAAGAATGCTTAGCTCTTCGTGTCGATACTTTACAAAGTAAAGAAAACTATAAATCACAGTATCATTTTCTTAAAGAAAAGGGTTGTAATACTTTCTGTTCTCCATGTGAATTAGACAAAGTTGAAAAAGAGTTTCCTCCAGAATGTTAGATATTGTGTTGAATCAGACTTTTTTGGTCATAGGGATATAATATATCATACTCCTGCTAAAGATCTGAAAGCAACCAAAACAAAAATATATGATCCAATTGACTTAAAAGAGAGTTTAACTAGTCCAGAGTTCCCTTCCCCAAACATGAAGGGTGTGAGGTATAATTATGTTCAAGCAATTGAAAGAGTTTAGAGGAGCTGGATGCAAACATTGTTGAGGGATTACGCAAGCATGACAGAGGATCCAACATTATTACTGAAAACATACATTAAAGATGGAGCAGATGGAATGAGTGATGTTTCTGTACACTGGGAAAAAAGTGAAACAGAATTACCAAACAAAGCTTTTAGGTTTGCATTTGCTATAGTTAAGGTTGGTGTTGTTATGTCAAATGGAACCCAGATAAATATTTTTGAAGAAGATAAACCCAACTCAATCCGAACTAATAGACCCCTGCTAGAAGCTATAGCAGATGAAAACCACCATACATCATGTATTTTTTGTATGATACCTATAGAACAAGAACGTTGCTTTTTGAAAGGAAAAATTTTGAGAATATATACAAAAGATGGTTGGAGGAGACATGAAATAGCGTTTTTCACATCGATGATACATGAAAAATTTGATAGATCTGAATCTGGATTAGCAGGCAGTGGGTCTAGGTACATGTGCACTTTATGTGAAGCAACAAGGGAGACTGCAAAATCTGAATTAGGGTTCTTCAATGTTATAAGAACTTACAAACAAACAAAGGAAATTGATGATTACATTAAAATAAATCCTGATAATCTTAGTCAAGCAAAATTGGTGGATCAAATATCTGTTGGTGTAAAGCAGGCGCCTATAATATGTGCTGACGCAATCGAAAAAGGAATTGACTCTACACATTATTTTCACATTTAAAACCCTTTTACAAAACTTTAAATGAATGCGCTCTAATTCTTTAGATTTTATTACTCCCCATACCTCGCATGAGTAGTTCAAAATGGAAGCAACAAAAGCATCAAATAACTGACATTACGTACTTGATTTTAAATCAAAGTGTTTAATATTGTTCAATAAGAAGTTCAAAGCTTTAAGACCTTTACCAGCTAGAACGTTTTGATTTGAATTGAAACTTCCAGACGAGCTAAATACGACTCCTAAGTAATTAAAATTTGAAACAGTTTCCAAGTTAACACCATTATAGGTCCATTTTTCGTTTCTTCTGGGTCTTCTTCCCTTTTTGAAGATGATTACTTTAGTCTTTTCCGTGTTAACTTCAATACCCCATAATTTACAGTACTCACTCAATAAATCTAAATTTCTTTGTAGATCATCCGGACTTTCGCCTAAAATCGCCATGTCGTCTGCATACATAAGAAGCATTAATGTTACTTCTTTTAACGTTATTCCATTTTGATTTTCTTGTAAATATATTTCAATGTCTTCAATAAACAGAGCATAGAATAATGGCGAAGTTATGTCCCCTTGTTTCAAGCCTATAGCAATATTGATAAAGTCAGAGTATTTTTCACAATGTTTGATTTTACTCCTCACTTCTGTATACATAGATCTAAGCATACGGAGCATCTTTCCACAAATCCCTAAATTATATAGCTTATACCATAAAGCATTTCTGTTAATAGAATCGAAGATTTTCTTCATATCTACCATAGCCACATATAGTCTTTTTCCATTATTCAACATATTTTCCACTAAAGTATGAAGAGCAAAAATAGCGTCTGTTGTAGAAAATCCCGCGCGAAATCCAAACTGCGCATCCGTATTAATATTATATTTACAGGACCAACAAGTAAGTCTGTTATTTAGCACTGATGTAAACAATTTAGCTATACAACTTATTAAAGTTATACCACGATAATTATTAACCTGATTTTCGTCACCTTTTTTATATAATGGTATGATCAATCCCTCCATCCATTGATCCGGAAAATATCCACTATCAAAAATGTTATTGAAAATATCAACAATATGTCCGATTAAAATATCTCCTGCTTCTATGAAATATTCATTAATCAAGTGGTCTAAGGAGCCAGCTTTACCGCGTTTTAGAGACTTAATCGCTTTCAAGACTTCTTCTGACGTAATAACCCCGTCGAGCTGTTCATATATGACGTCATTATGGTTCAGATTTCTCTTACAAAATTCCTCTGCGTCGTGATTGCATGAGATTGAAATTTCCTCAGATATCCCTTTAAAATATTCGTAAAAATCGGCTATATCAATATTTTCTCCTTTTCTGCATTTCTTTTTTGAGAAGTACGACCAAAATGCTTTGGGATTTTTTCCACGTAAGTTTTCAATTTCGGACATTTTTAACTTAGTATATATTTTTTTCTTCCTCTTCAAAACAGTTTTGTACTCTCTCTTTTTTAGATTAAAATAATTTCTATTTTCGTCTGTTTTCGTACAATTAAACAATTGCAATGCTTCGAGGTATTCTAATTTCTTATTATGACATTCGTTGTCAAACCACTGAGACCTTTTAACAGGATATTTTTTATGTACAAAGCCCGTTTGTTTACGTTTCTTTACTGTTGTTTTGAACAGCGGAGAAGCAACATTGTTTATAAGACTTACAAAATCACTAACACATTTGTTTATAGATGTTTTATCACAATTATCATGACCATTTAGTATAGCATTAAAATCGGGTAGTTTCGATATCAAAGATCTCCGAAAAGCGTCTTTCTTATCGCTGTCCCACCGTATACAAGTATCCTCACCGTGTATTTTTTGGTCAAAGTGATGACACTACATGTAAAATCCTTGTCTGATGAATAATTTTGAAGGAATAAGCCATGGTTTATATAACCCAGAAAGATCATTGCACCTGATCAGTAGATGACATCTTATAATTTCGAGGTCATTGGGTCAAAAATCAGGGTCACAGTGACGCTAAATGTAAAATAATTGACCAGTCAATAAGTTGTATAAATGGCACTTTTACAGGCTGGTGAAGAAGAGGCATCCTTGTACTATAGAACATGTCTAGTTAATTTGGGAAATTCATATAAATGGTGTAATCTGATTGGTTATTTATCTCGTTGCCACCACTTAGTAACTCGTGGCCACGCCATAGTATCCCGTGGCCACGACATAGTATCTAGTGGCCACGACTTAGCTATCTCGTGGCAACGACTTAGTAACTCGTGGCCACGACATAGTATCTCGTGGCCATGACATAGTATTTCGTGGCCACGAGATAAATAAAAACACATACATGTCACCTTTGTGCCACCGTATGTGCGTGTGTTGTTAAACATCAAATAAATAATATTGTTAATGACTATCAGAAACCGAATTTCTTACATCATATCTGTGCGCACAAATATCCATTTTTAAAGTAAAGCTGTTATGATTTAATGAACACACAAATCAATATTTACCGCGTTACAGAGTGTCGAAAAGAGCAGCACCTTTTAAATACAGATTTCAAATAACTTGTAGTAATTATATTTAAGTGTCATTAGAAATAAGCTTTCTATACTAACTAAAACAAATATTCTATCATGAGTCAGACATTTATCTATAACATATGTTAAATTATTTCTCGAAATATTTTTACTGGCCTTTTAAAGCACAGATATTGATAAAGGGGTCGAAATGTCTTACCCACTTTGGGTCGAAAAGTCATGTTAAAATGGGTTTTAGAGTCAACTGGTCTAGAAGTCATTTTAATATCCTAAGGGGTCGAGAAAACAAGGCGTCTAAGGGTCTTACTTGCGTTTGAAATATACTGTGATACACCAATTGAATCAATGTTCGCAAACATGCTTTATCTAACACAAGTGTTTCTGCCTCAATTGTACCTCTCACCAGACATCAACAGTAAATTGAGTGTCTTTCATTTAAATGCTGCAGCATTCTTCAAGAAATGTCTACAAAGGAACAAATCTAACTGATTGTGACTAAACAGTTTGTTTTAAGATTAACAATAAGCACGAATTATTATTGACATATTATTATAAACGACTGTTGAAAATGACTTGACCGAAAGATATATCCTATATCTGTTCCTATATACAAATTTATATTAACACATTATTAGCAAAGCTTTTTCGGAAAAAAATAGAAACGCTAAGGAAAATGGTAAAGATCATGTTGATAAAAACCCACCGAAAGCGTTACAGATCGGTCGTACGACTAAAGCGTGCCACGATCTGGCGTACTATATTTGATAAAACGGCATCCGGAACTTAATTGATGCTTTTTTCGTATACATAACCGCTCTCGGCACAGGAAGTTTGGAATAAACTTGAAAGACGACACGACTTTTATAAAGTATATTTATACTTAGCTGTTAGAAATATACCACTGTCAAATTGCATATAACAAAAAGTACACATTTCGTAGATATCTTAGTCTTCTTAGTGAGTTCTAAATGTGAAGATCTTTATCATATCGACTTGAACGGCATGCTGCCATTGTTCCCAATTCCTTAAGTTATGAAGTGGTAACAAACTTACGTGCAACATAATAATTATATTAGAATTTAACCCTCTACCTTATGAGCATTTTGTGACAAAAATGGCTGTTTTCCTTGAAAAGCCACCTTTTACAAGTTAAACTGCTATAAAACTATTTAAAAGTTTTAATACTGATTAAACTTGGCAAACATGTTGACTGGACCATTGCCTTTGTAACAGCATGCTCTATCCTAAATTTCCTGTTACTATGGCAACGGGGAACGTCTCAAAATTGCCAAAACTCATTATTTTTCGTTTTTTTGCATCAAAACTAATTACAAAGTGCTGCAACCTCTCAATGGATTAATATAGAGTCAAAGGTTTTTCTGCGTTGGTTACATGTTACCTTAAGATCGACCTGAGGCCTCTTATAGCCCCTCACATGTTCGAAATTTTCTTGGCAATGAGGGGGGGGGGCTACCATTTTAAACACCACCAAACAGAAGAGGACACATTCTCCCCTCTGGCACCCCTTTGATTCACCTTTTTGATTGGGTTGCGTCGAAAAAGTGATCACATTTTTAACAACATTTCTCAAACGAAAAACCGTACTGGGCCTAAATAGGACTTTTTTTCACTATTTGAGGCCTCAGAAGAGGGAGGGGTGGTGAAACGCCGTTAAAATACCCTATATGAAGTTAAGGGTTGAGGAACAAGTGTTAAGCTTATACGATCAGAAATCTTTTGAAAGGATATTTTCATTTCATATTCTTTCTGAGCTAATGATTTTCTTTAAATATAGATCATTATATTGTAATAACTTGTGTAATTACACAGTCATATCTTGAGCAATAAAAAGACACTTTAAGTTTAATAACAGTATTTGTCACTTCGAAAACACATAACAAATTGTTTTTGTTGTTTTTTTTTTCGTTTCTTATCATTAGGAAAGTAAGAATCGCCAATGAGATTACACATAATGTGCCCTCAAAATTTTACTAGAATATGCGACCATTTCTATACATGCGTTTCTTTTTTATCAAACCACCATGCAAATCAATACACCGGTGAAACTAAAATCCGACAAAATATTATGAACTTATTGAAAAGTAAAACATCAATAAGGGTTTTATAATAACATGTAGTCAATTCAATGGAACCACTCAAACAGTATATCTTTTGAACATACAGTCAATTCAGCTGAACTTTACACAAATAAAAGTGATCATTTTATCATTTCTAGTAAGTAATATATTTATAAGTATTTTTGCAGTTTGTAACACGACATATGTTTGCGAGGAATATTGTTAGCAAACCATATTTTAGACAAACTGGAAATATATTCTACAGACAGGTGAAACGTCTTTAAAATTTACAAATTCAACTTTGAAGTTATTAATTGTGTCACAGAAAGTGTTAATAGATATATCAATAACTGTGAAGTACATATATTGAACTGTATCGTTCATCTCTGATGTCTAGTCCAACTAATAAGACTTGTCAAAAGGACACCGAGATAATTTTGGACGGGCGCTGTCTTTTTCCAAGTCCAACCACGAACTGCATTTTATGCACGGACGCTTCCCAATTAGAAGTTATTGGGACAAAAACTAGAAAAGTTTAGAAGAAACGGCCTACACTACCTGGAAGAGAACCGTTTTTATCCAAGGTTCCAAATTATCATACTTCAAAGTCGAACAGAAGTCTAAATATTCCACTTTATTTTTTCAAATCGTTGAGAATTATTGTAAGCAGCCATATTGGAAATATAGAAGGAATGACCCAAGCGGTGTCATGGTAAAATTGTAAAATTTCAATGGTGTAACACAGGTACCGGCGGCAATCGATTGTATTTGTAAGCTTTATTATACAATTTGTTTATGTTATTGGCAGGAATAACTCTTATATTCACACTTGAATAGTTCAGCATTAGAAATAAAATGTAAAAAGAAAATTCTGATAACGTTACTTAGAAAGTAAATAGTTTTATGATGTCCGACGTCAGATACTGCAACACATACACACTTCTTTGCTCCTTTTTAAATCGCCATTTTGTGCATTCGGAACGTTTTGTTTGTACGCCAATATTTTCTTCTAGAATACTATGTCATCATGCGCAAATAAAATAAGACACCGTTTAAGTAATTTAACACATGCGCAGTAACTTTCCTCGAATAGTAAACAAGTTTTTGTACCAGATTAACATTTATTTTTGAAAAAAAGAAGCTTTAATCCCTTCACACGACGGTGTCTGATATTGGTAATTGTTTGCAGTGAAAATAACTCCTGTATTTAAACGATTTAGGTAAGAATTTTAGATTTTTAAAAACATTATCTATGTTTTTCCTGAAAAGATTGAAGTAGCTTCGAAATGATGAGGCATGGTTGCTATGGTAAACATATTGATTTTAATGGTAAACAGCCGATTTAAAAAAAACCGGAAGTAAGTTTTGGAGTGATTGATTCACAGATGACATAGAAACTGTACATCGTAATGACTGTGCTCAATTCAAAAAATGAAGTTGACAATCTTCACACGTAGAACTATGATACACAACAATCAACACTAAATTGGCATGCAGTTATTTTGTAGTCATGTTATTTGGACAATTTTCTTAAATTTTCTTCATCCATGAGAAAGTAAATGATTATAACATGGTCATAACATTTTCGGATAAAGATTCATAATTCATGAAACACTTGATCTGATGTTGTTTAATTTTGACCAGTAAATTTATCCTATAAAGACATATTTATTTTAATCTTATTCTATTACTCTTTATATCATTTATAATTGTTTCTATGATATATTTTGTTAAGTAAACAATATGGTTAAACTATATCTGACTCCATAATATATTTACTTAGTTAGACATGCCCCTATGCAATGCAATGGTAGCATCTATGATGAGAATCCCACATTCAACAATGGTGCATTTTTTGATAATTAAACCAGGAAAAGTCATTTACTATGTTTAATTTTTGTAATTACCCATGAAGGAGTGTAACATTAAAGGCTCACTGTGCCTCAAAATGTATACATGTATAGAAATCTTTAGAAATGGCATGCATATCTGATACCAAATTTATGGAACAAACTTTGAAACAAAAATATATTAGCATGATTAATACCATTATTGGGCTTGATGGTATATGCAGGGTTGAAATATCAAAATATAATGCAATATATATAACAATTCATGCCATGTAAATTAGAATCTATAAGAAAAAATTAGAGGTGATTGCAAAATCCAAATTTAGGTATATGTATCTTGCATTTGTTGTTGTCTTCAAAACACCCTGAAATTTGATATTTCAAAAAGCTTTTACTTAAATATTATTATGATATTTAACTATTTTCAGATATAGAAAGTACAGCATTGTGAAAATAAATCTAGACATAAGGTAAGTAAAAATGTTATTCTTATTTTTCTAAAATATATAGAAGGCAAATACCTATTTACAATAAAGAGAAAAACTAGCAGAGATATAAGTGTTAAAATTGTGTTTAATGATGTCAGTGCATTTTTCACTTTTAGATAGGTTTGTTATTAATGGAAAAATTGTTGAAAGCTTATGTCCAGGATATAAATATATCAACATATCAAATTTGTGATCCAGTAAATTGGAAAACATTTTAATATGTTTAAAAAGTATCATCATGGCGGTATGCATGCTTGTTGTAAAATAAAAAATGTATTTATAAAATAAATGAAAATTTTGCTAATATTTTTCTGTAACCTCAAAAATTCAGGGTTCAAGCACGCAAAGAAAAAGGGAAATATGTACATTTTCTCATAAACCAATCTGTAAATCAATCAAAATTGGATGTTATCAGGCAACTTATATGATCACTGATCACTCTTGTTTTATTAATGATATATGCTCCTTTGTTAATTCCTTTGTTATCTAGGTTGTTGGTATACTATCTAGTTCTCAGTTAAGTTGAGCAGTCTGTCCTATCAGCTCTTGTAATCTAACTTTCCTGTTAGTGTCTTTTGAAATTTCCCTCCAGTCATGATTTGCATATTAATATTTCAGAGAGCAAATATCAGTATTTAAAATTCGACAAGCCATGGCTGACAAGGAAGATTCAGACTGTGATGCATTTCCTTCACCAGTGTTTAAAAAGGTAAAATAGTAATGCAATACAAGTATATATGTAGATATTGACTGTATTAAATTCTACAGAAATCTACAGAATCAGCAGAATAAAGATGTATCATTTAAGTGATAAAACAGATTCTTGTTTAAAACTCAAGTAAATTGTCTTTTTCATTGGAATTAAAAAGAATCTGTAATGTTTTTGTGATGTGACTGAAAATATTAAGTGAAAGATAAAGTTTTGATATTGTATTTAATTTTGTCTTTCTTGAATTTTGGTGTCTCATCGGAAAAAGTGAAGGGATAAGACATTTCATGTAAAGGTATTAATATGTATATTTTATGAAAATCTGGTCTACTGTATTGTAAATGGTAAGAAATACTGCATGTATCTCCCGTATATAAACAATGAATAAATAGCTATACTAGAGGGATATAAATTTATAGCCATTACGTTTTATTTTGTGATAGGAAGACAATATATCTAACATCTCCATTTTAAAACTATGGATATTAGATAATCCATAAATAAAGGTATAGTGGCCAAGTGGTTATGGCGTTGGAACTTGTTCCAAAGATCGTGAGTTCGAATCTCACCTGTACCGACATGTGGATTACTGATGTAAAAGTCTTTCAAGTGATACTTTTTTGCTGATTCTGCTTGATTTCTGCTAACTAGAATTTTTTTAAACCTTTCAGTCTAAAATTTGTAACTAATTGCTAATATTAAGCTTCCTAACATGCATGTATGTAATTACTTGAAAACTAAGTAGTCTAACATTTCTGATTGCTTACTCTAATAACTAATATAACAAAAGATTGGAAGATATTATGACCATTTTGAAATATACACCTTAAAATAAGTTAAGCACACCCTGTAAATTTAATTTGTTGTTATTGAAAGAACTGTCATGAGATAACGTCTGAATTGAGCTAAGAAATAGTAATTTGATAAGTAGCGATACCAATTTAGTAATCATAAACCAGTAACTTAATGAGTTAAGTTTATTGTAAACCGAATTATTGAAGCATAAGCAACAATACAACTGTTTATAAGTATTGTGTTGGAGGGTTTACAACACATTTACAGGTGGATGTTTTTGGAAAATGGTTTATGATAAGACTTTCATGCCAGATCTTTTCCCATTCATTCAAAATAAGCATTTAATTATAAATTTGGGAAAATTGGAAAATCAAATGTAACAAATATATACATGCACATGAATTCTTGTCTAAATCTATTTTTATTTGTTTGTTTTTAAGCATACATATACTTATTCATTCTAACTAAATTAAGAATTAATTAACATTAATTCTATGTAGAGTAGTAAATATATGTGAAAATAAACATATAACATATTTTAATTGCATTAACCTGCCATCTTCTGGGGGAAAGGTCTGTAAAGTTATAATGCCCATTTTGTTAAACTTTTTTATGAGTAAAAAATTCTGGAAATTTGGTTTATAACAGGCTGCTGGCAAGAAACGTGTTAGGTAAGTTGAGGAGAATACTTAGAATACTGATCATATTGAAATGCAAGATATTGCTAATAGCCCTGCTAGCTCTTATTATAATCCAAACAGTCAAGACTTATTTGATAGTAGTTCTAAGATTTCTAAATCAGACAGTGAAGACATATTTGATGATTTAATGCATTTATTATTGCATTTCAATATGATCAGTATTCTCAGTGTTCTCGTCAACTTGCCTAACACGTTTCTTGCCAGCAGCCTGTTATAAACCAAATTTCCAGAATTTTTTACTCATAAAAAGTTTAACAAAATGGGCATTATAACTTTACAGACCTTTCCCCAGAAGATGGCAGGTTAATGCAATTAAAATATGTTATATGTTTATGTACACATATATTTACCACTCTGCATAGAATTAATGTTAATTAATTCTTCATTTAGTTAGAATGAATAAGTATATGTATGCTTAAAAACAAACAAATAAAAATAGATTAAGACAAGAATTCATGTGCATGTATATATTTGTTACATTTGATTTTCCAATTTTCCCAAATTTATAATTAAATGCTTATTTTGAATGAATGGGAAAAGGTCTGGCATGAAAGTCTTATCATAAACCATTTTCCAAAAACATCCACCTGTAAATGTGTTGTAAACCCTCCAACACAATACTTATAAACAGTTGTATTGTTGCTTATGCTTCAATAATTCGGTTTACAATAAACTTAACTCATTAAGTTACTGGTTTATGATTACTAAATTGGTATCGCTACTTATCAAATTACTATTTCTTAGCTCAATTCAGACGTTATCTCATGACAGTTCTTTCAATAACAACAAATTAAATTTACAGGGTGTGCTTAACTTATTTTAAGGTGTATATTTCAAAATGGTCATAATATCTTCCAATCTTTTGTTATATTAGTTATTAGAGTAAGCAATCAGAAATGTTAGACTACTTAGTTTTCAAGTAATTACATACATGCATGTTAGGAAGCTTAATATTAGCAATTAGTTACAAATTTTAGACTGAAAGGTTTAAAAAAAATCTAGCTAGCAGAAATCAAGCAGAATCAGCAAAAATGTATTACTTGAAAGACTTTTACATCAGTAATCCACATGTCGGTACAGGTGAGATTCGAACTCACGATCTTTGGAACAAGTTCCAACGCCATAACCTATTGGCCACTATACCTTTATTTATGGATTATCTAATATCCATAGTTTTAAAATGGAGATGTTAGATATATTGTCTTCCTTTCACAAAATAAAACGTAATGCTATAAATTTATATCCCCCTAGTGTAGCTATTTATTCATTGTTTATATACGGGAAATACATGCAGTATTTCTTACCATTTAAATACAGTAGACCAAATTTTCATAAAATATACATATTAATACCTTTACATGAAATTTCTTATCCCTTCACTTTTTTCAGATGAGACACCAAAATTCAAGAAAGACAAAATTAACTACAATATCAAAACTTTATCTTTCACTTAATATTTTCAGTCACATCACAAAAACATTACAGATTTTTTTATTAATTCCAATGAAAAAGACAATTTACTTGAGTTTTAAACAAGAATCTGTTTTATCACTTAAATGATACATCTTTATTCTGCTGATTCTGTAGATTTCTGTAGAATTAAATACAGTCAATATCTACACATATACTTGCATTGCATTACTATAATACCTTTGTAAACACTGGTGAAGGACATGCATCACAGTCTGAATCTTCCTTGTCAGCCATGGCTTGTCGAATTTTAAATACTGATATTTGCTCTCTGAAATATTATACAAAGCATGACTGGAGGGAAATTTCAAAAGACACTAACAGGAAATTTAGATTACAAGAGCTGATAGGACAGACTGCTCAACTTAACTGAGAACTAGATAGTATACCAACAACCTAGATAACAAAGGAATTAACAAAGGAGAATATATCATTAATAAAACAAGAGTGATCAGTGATCATATAAGTTGCCTGATAACATCCAATTTTGATTGATTTACAGATTGGTTTATGAGAAAATGTACATATTTCCCTTTTTCTTTGCGTGCTTGAACCCTGAATTTTTGAGGTTACAGAAAAATATTAGCAAAATTTTCATTTATTTTATAAATACATTTTTTATTTTACAACAAGCATGCATACCGCCATGATGATACTTTTTAAACATATTAAAATGTTTTCCAATTTACTGGATCACAAATTTGATATGTTGATATATTTATATCCTGGACATAAGCTTTCAACAATTTTTCCATTAATAACAAACCTATCTAAAAGTGAAAAATGCACTGACATCATTAAACACAATTTTAACACTTATATCTCTGCTAGTTTTTCTCTTTATTGTAAATAGGTATTTGCCTTCTATATATTTTAGAAAAATAAGAATAACATTTTTACTTACCTTATGTCTAGATTTATTTTCACAAGGCTGTACTTTCTATATCTGAAAATAGTTAAATATCATAATAATATTTAAGTAAAAGCTTTTTGAAATATCAAATTTCAGGGTGTTTTGAAGACAACAACAAATGCAAGATACATATACCTAAATTTGGATTTTGCAATCACCTCTAATTTTTTCTTATAGATTCTAATTTACATGGCATGAATTGTTATATATATTGCATTATATTTTGATATTTCAACCCTGCATATACCATCAAGCCCAATAATGGTATTAATCATGCTAATATATTTTTGTTTCAAAGTTTTTTTCTTACATTTGGTATCAGATATGCATGCCATTTCTAAAGATTTCTATACATGTATAAATTTTGAGGCTCAGGGAGCCTTCAATGTTACACTCCTTCATGGGTAATTACAAAAATTAAATATAGTAAATGACTGTTTCCTGGTTTAATTATCAGAAAATGCACCATTGTTGAATGTGGGATTCTCATCATAGATGCTACCATTGCATAGGGGCATGTCTAACTAAGTAAATATATTATGGAGTCAGATATAGTTTAACCATATTGTTTACTTAACAAAATATATCATAGAAACAATTATAAATGATATAAAGAGTAATAGAATAAGATTAAAATAAATATGTCTTTATAGGATAAATTTACTGGTCAAAATTAAACAACATCAGATCAAGTGTTTCATGAATTATGAATCTTTATCCGAAAATATAACTTGTCCGATTAATAGTCAATTACCATGTTATAATCATTTACTTTCTCATGGATGAAGAAAATTTAAGAAAATTGCCCAAATAACATGACTACAAAATAACTGCATGCCAATTTAGTGTTGATTGTTGTGTATCATAGTTCTACGTGTGAAGATTGTCAACTTCATTTTTTGAATTGAGCACAGTCATTACGATGTACAGTTTCTATGTCATCTGTGAATCAATCACTCCAAAACTTACTTCCGGTTTTTTAAAATCGGCTGTTTACCATTAAAATCAATATGTTTACCATAGCAACCATGCCTCATCATTTCGAAGCTACTTCAATCTTTTCAGGAAAAACATAGATAATGTTCTTAAAAATCTAAAATTCTTACCTAAATCGTTTAAATACAGGAGTTATTTTCACTGCAAACAATTACCAATATCAGACGCCGTCGTGTGAAGGGATTAAAGCTTCTTTTTTCAAAAATAAATGTTAATCTGGTACAAAAACTTGTTTACTATTCGAGGAAAGTTACTGCGCATGTGTTAAATTACTTAAACGGTGTCTTATTTTATTTGCGCATGATGACATAGTATTCTAGAAGAAAATAGCGGCGTACAACCAAAACGTTCCGAATGCACAAAATGGCGATTTAAAAAGGAGCAAAGAAGTGTGTATGTGTTGCAGTATCTGACGTCGGACATCATAAACAATTTACTTTCTAAGTAACGTTATCAGAATTTTCTTTTTACATTTTATTTTTAATGCTGAACTATTCAAATGTGAATATAAGAGTTATTCCTGCCAATAACATAAACAAATTATATAATAAAGCTTGACAAATACAATCGATTGCCACCGGTACCTGTGTTACACCGTGGAAATTTTACAATTTTACCATGACACCGCTTGGGTCATTCCTTCTATATTTCCAATATGGCTGCTTACAATAATTTTCAACGATTTGAAAAAATAAAGTGGAATATTGAGACTTCTGCTCGACTTTGAAGTATGATAATTTGGAACCTTAGATAAAAACGGTTCTCTTCCAGGTAATGTAGGCCGTTTCTTCTAAACTTTTCTAGTTTTTGCTCCCAATAATTTCTAATTGGGAAGCGTCCGTGCATAAAATGCAGTTCGTGGTTGGACTTGGAAAAAGACAGCGCCCGTCCAAAATTATCTCCGTGTCTCTTTGATAAGTCTAATTAGTTGGACTAGACATCAGAGATGAACGATACAGTTCAAAATATGTACTTTACAGTAGTTGATATATCTATTAACACTTTCTGTGACACAATTAAAAACTTCAAAGTAGAATTTGTCAAAGACGTTTCACCTGTCTGTAGAATATATTTCCAGTTTGTCTAAAATATGGTTTGCTAACAATATTACTCGCAAACATATGTCGTTTTACAAACTGCAAAAATACTTATAAATATATTACTTACTGGAAATGATAAAATGATCACTTTTATTTGTGTAAAGTTCAGCTGAATTGACTGTATGTTCAAAAGATATACTGTTTGAGTGGTTCCATTGAATTGACTACATGTTATTATAAAACCCTTATTGATGTTTTACTTTTCAATAAGTTCATAATATTTTGTCGGATTTTAGTTTCACCGGTGTATTGATTTGCATGGTGGTTTGATAAAAAAGAAACGCATGTATAGAAATGGTCGCATATTCTAGTAAAATTTTGAGGGCACATTATGTGTAATCTCATTGGCGATTCTTACTTTCCTAATGATAAGAAACGAAAAAAAAAACAACAAAAACAATTTGTTATGTGTTTTCGAAGTGACAAATACTGTTATTAAACTTAAAGTGTCTTTTTATTGCTCAAGATATGACTGTGCAATTACACAAGTT